CCTCTCCCTCTCCCTCTCCCTCTCCCTCTCCCTCTCTTCTCTTTTTTTTTTGATGGCCATTTTAAATAGATGTCATAATAGTTCCTTTAACTTTCCTGCTCAGGACAGTGATGGGTATCCTAGTCCCATTTTCCTAGGCTAATACCCTCTTATTCCAGCTGCATCAACTGATGTTATCCAAGCCAATTACCAAGAGAGAAAGTCAGGACTATTCTGCCATATATGTGGTTCTCACTGGAACTAAAATACTGATGGGAAGTACGTGCTTTATGTCCAGTGTACAGCTCAGCCACTCACATAGGAAAATGTAATAATTTCTGCACAGATTCCCAAGGTACACTGAAGTATGTGCTTGTGGAGTTTTACTTTCAATATGTGAATTTCTTACTACTGTTTTCACCTTTTACCTGCAGTTCTGTTTGCATTGGAGACAAAGTCTAAAGGTGAAAAAAAATTCTGTTTCCCTGTCTTCTTGGTCTGCATTGAAAATAGTAATCCATCTGATACTAGCAAAATCCGATGAGTTCAAGTTCATCCCTTTTGGAAGGACTATTAATTTCTTTGTTGGGTGAGGAAATCATCTTTGGTTTTGGAAAGTTTTTTTTCAACACATGAAAAATGACTACTTTGTATAGAGCTAACTTCTTTTGTTTGAAAGTTTTTGATGGAATGCAAAAGCAGTGTATGAGGGGAATTATTTCCATTCCTCAACAATGGCATGCTTTGCAGGTTCTTATTGAGACTGCCAAGAAACTGGGGCTCCAGTGTCATTCCAAAGGGACAGTGATCACAATCGAAGGCCCACGTTTTAGCTCTCGAGCAGAAAGCTGCATGTTTCGCAGTTGGGGAGCTGACGTTATCAACATGACTACAGTGCCTGAAGTGATTCTTGCAAAGGAAGCTGGAATGAGTTATGCAAGTATTGCCATGGCAACGGATTATGACTGCTGGAAGGAACATGAAGAAGCAGTGAGTAAAGCTTTTTTTCTCTGGTGTTGTCCTGAGGGATTTGGGTGAGAATGTGTAGGTTTTAATAAGAGATGACATACTGTACTAAATCTGTTCTTAATTACATTGGTATCCCTGAGTTATTCATGATTAATGACTTGTGAAAGTAAAAATAGAGTCAATTGTTGCTATCTCATTTATTTTCATAAACCTGCCTCACTACTAGCAAACCTTTTGTTTCCTGTTGTCTGAGCCAGGAGGTCTGTATGACGCTCATTAGTTCTGTGTGTGACTTGTCTTCCTGTGATTGGTCTGATTGCAGCTCTGTGCAAAACAATGTACATGCTTTAGCTCTCCTATTTTTGATATGGAAGTATAAACCATACACACACAGAGGAAAAAATAGTTGTACTGTCTAAAAAGACTGATACTCTAAGGCTTTGCTTTTACACTTCTTAGTTAAATTGATTTGGGTATTTAAAATGTGTGCAGTCAAAATTGAGAGACACCACTCAGTTGTATTATATTTCTAGGTTTCAGTGGATAAAGTTTTAAAGACACTGAAAGGGAATGCAAATAAGGCTACAAGCATACTCCTTACTGCTATACCTCAGATAGGCTCCATGGAATGGACCAGCACCCTGCAGACTCTGAAAGTAAGTATAAAAATGAGGCTGATGAGTAACAGGGACATGTGTATGTGTGTCAAACATAACCCAAGTGTATGTTACAGGGTGGTTTTGCTTAAATCAAAATATTTCAGAGTAAATGCCTCAAGAAGCCAAATTCATTCAAGAAGGGTGGACAGATTCCACATGATTCTTGCAAGTTTTATTGCCAAGATCTTCAGCTTTACAAGAAGTTTTGAGAAAGGTCAAAAAAACCTTTTGAAGGTTTGTTTTTTAAAAAACAGATAGCTTTATATGGTTGATGAAGTGAAACATCATAGTGACCATACGTGAACAACAGTGAACATAAGGTGTTCATATGACATAAATAAATGAGATACAAAGTAAGATACAAATATATGTATCCAAATGAAACCCTGGTCTGGGATCTTGGCACAAAGAAGAGTCAAGTAGAAGAGACTGAACCAAACCAAAACTATTATGCTTACTTTAATATGTAGTAGAGGAAAAGTTATAACTAGTTTGAAGTTATTAGAATTGGGTTCTCCATAGTTTTAAGTCCAAGGTGCATGAAAAAATATGGAAAATAAAAACATTTCAAAATATATTGGCAAGGGAGTTCTTAAGCAGAATTTTTGTTACACAACGTTTACTTGTGTTTTTTATCTCCTGTATTTCACTGGTATACGTGAGATGCATTTGTGGCTATAAAAAGAGAGAAAAAACAATGTTAAACAGTTTGGATGTTTATCCAGCTACTCAGCAAGCGTTTTTTTGACTGGGTTGAGATAAGGACAAGGAGCGATTATTCATCAAATAGTGTCATGAGCAAAACAGGCTCAGCTTAGCTTATATTAATTGAATTTGTTACTAACAAAATCAGAGCAGGATAATTCCATCCCAGCCTCTATGAGTCACTTTTTTAAGAATTATCCTCAAAAATACACTCAGCATATAATCCCTAATTAGAACAATAAAAAAATTACTAAACTAAACAGAAGAAAAAATTCTCTACACAAAATCTAAAGCATAATCACTACACAGAACCAATAAGAAAATTACACAAAAAATCCACCCCTAGATTTTTCACTACAATTACAATACAAATTTCCCACTATCATTCTGCTTAATTCTGTAATTTAATACTTGTTTTGCCCATTTCCATATTTCAAAGTCCTTATGCTTTCATTCTCCACCAAAAATATTGCAATTTTGACACTGGCCAAACGCCAGTGCATTCACAAAGAACCATTCACTTATTCTCCTCTGCTACAGCTAAGCAGAGGAGGGGAAAAGAAAAAAAATATTATTAAAAGAACTAAAACAGAATAATGAGAACTAAAGCCTTTAGAACATCTTTTCTTCTTCCCCACCCCCCACCACCAAGCCCTTCTTTCCTTCCCACTGACAGCACAGGGAGACAAAATACGGGGTTTTTAGTCAGTTTGTCACCTCTAAAAATCTTCCTTCACTTTGCGTAGGGACGGGAGTCTCTTTTGCTCTGCCATGGGGTCCTTCTCACAGGAGACAGTTCTCTGTGAACTTCTTCAGCATGGTTCTAATTTTTATGAGTAGCAGTTTCACCCAACCTGCTGTGAGTCCCTCCCATGGGCAAACACAGTTTTCCCACAACTGTTTTTTCATGGGCCATTTAGTTGATTTGGTATTGTCTTTTAAGGATGAGCTGTTCTAGTCTGGGAGTCCTCCTCCTCTATCTCTGGAAGCAAGGGTCCTCTCTCTCTCGTTTCAAGCCTGTCACTGTATCACAGCTTTTCAGCATCCACACACTCCAGTGCGAGCACCTCTTTCTCATGGGCTGCAGGTGAATTCTACATCTCCCCATGCCCTTCATAAATTACAGGGAAACAGTTTGTTATATTATAGTCCTCACCACAGCTTGCAGAAGAATCTCAGCACTGATGCCCGGATCACTTCCTTCTCTCCCTCCCTCCCTCCATTTCATCGACCTCAGCGTCGCCATCTTGTTCTCCTCACGTGTCTTCACCTTTCCCTTTTCCCTGATCCGGGAGGGAATCGGTGTCTGTGGGATTGTCTGTTCTCAAGTTCTGCCAGCTGAAAAGTTCTTACAGGGTTCCGCAGTGCTGAAAGGCTGATCTTGTCCAGGCTCTGCATCAGGGGATTGCTTGCCATTCCTTGTGCTGCTGGCCACATGGTCCCCACTGGCACCACAGGGGCTGCACCAGCCACCACAGCACCAACTCCATTTAGTGCCTCTCTACATACAGAGCTCTGAAAAGGAGAAGCAGCTGCCCACACTTCTGTCCTTCTGTTTGCAGTGTGGCAGGCTAGAAGTTTCCAGGTGCGCCAAGTCCATCACTGGCTGTGCCAAGACAGCGGCACCCATGTGGCTCCTCCTGGCCCTGGCCCCTCCTGGTGTTCTCTGCAGGGCCACTCCTGGCTGTAGGGCTTCTCTTGGCACCTCATGGCATGGTCCGGAAGCCCTGCCGGGAAGGGGACTAGTGGCCCCTGCCACCACCCCTCCAAGGAGAAGAAGAGAAGAGAGTTCCCATGTTTTTGTTCAGTGTGTTATCATAGAGGCATTACCAGCTTTTCTAATTAACTTAGCAGTGTGCCTGTTCTCAGAGCCAGACAGTGATTGGTTCTGCCAGGCACAGAGGAAGCTTTTAGCAGTTCCTCACAGAAAATCACTTCTGTTGCTGGCTTCTTCTCTCCTCACCAAAAATCAAGCCATGCAAAACCACAGTCATTCATCAAATACTGTCACAAGCAAAACAGGCTCAGCTTAGAGATATTAATTGGATTTATTACTAACAAAATCAGAGCAGGGTAATGAGAAATAAAATAAACCCTTAAAAACACCCTGCCCCACCCCTCCCTCCTTCCAGCTCTGCCTCCTACCCCAGCAGTGCAAGGAGACAGGGAGTGGGGACTGTGGTCAGTTTATCACCCACGGCTGCTCCCACTGCTCAGGGAGAGGAGTTGTTCTCCTGCTGCACCCTGGCATCCCTCCCACAGGAGACAGTTCTTCGTGAGCTTCTCTGACTTGGCTCCATCCCATGGGCACCAGCCCCCTCAAACTGCTGCGGTGAAGGTCACTCTTCCACAGGTGCAATCCTCCAAGGACAGGCTGCTCCAGCCTGGGAGCAGGGCCCCTCTCTCCATGGGTCTCCCATGGGGTCACAGTCTCTTCCAGGCATCCACCTGCTCCAGCATGGGCTCCTCCACGGGCTGTGGGTGGATCTCTGCATCCCCCGTGGATCCCAGGGGCTGCAGGGCACAGCTGCTTCACCATGGGCCGCACCAGGGGCTGCAGGGGAACCTCAGCTCCAGCACCTCCTGCCCCTCCTTCTCCACTGACCTTGGTATCTGCAGAGCTATTCTTCTCACATGTTTTCACTCTGCTCTCATTGCTATTGCAACTGCACAACCCCTTTTTGTTTTGAAATCTTCTTAAATCTGCCATCACAGAGGCATTACCATCAGTTCTAACTGGCCCAGCCTTGGCCAGTGGCATGTCCATCTTTGGGGCTACCAGGGATTGGCTCTGCTGGGAATGGAAGAAGCTTCTAGCTGCTTCTCACAGGGCCTATAGCCAGCCCCTTGCTACCAAAACCAGGCCATGCAAACCCAATACATCGTATCAGTGATTCTTATCTCTAGTTTAGTCAATGTCATGAAGGGAAGATATATTTAGTAAAATTCAGCTCGCACTTTTTAAGCATAAATAACCAGGTCAGGTTTGTAGAATTCTAACCCAAATTCTTGAAATTAGTCTTTTGCCAACTCTTTACTGAAAAAAACTACTTTTCACTAGGAGTGCCTGAATTATCTTCATTAATCTTCCTCACCTGGTTATCTGAAACAGTTCCCTCTGTGAGGTAACTGACTTTTTCCTTGCTCTTTCACATTCATTAGGAAGTTGTATCATGGATGGATAAGGGAGGTAACAAAATGACTATTGTTTCTTCCCTCTGATCCACAGAAAACATTTTCATAGGTTGGGATTGCACTTCTTAATACAGATGCCTACGTATACAGCAAACTTGGAGTTTGAACAATAATGTAAAATGTGCTAGATATTCCTCAGGCACTTTTTTTCATACTGGCATGAAAGGAAATCTCTATTATGCTGCTTAAGTACTGATGAATCTGCCTTGGTTTCTGGCGGGCATAGTTCAGTGAGCAGTGTCCTCTTGTGTTCCTATGCTTTATTGTCTTGAATCTTCATTGGGAGTGAAAGAGAGCTGGCACTACATTTGCAGTGTTCCCCTTTAATGAATGCCAACTGTTCTTTCAGTTCATTGTGAAGTGCTTCTTCCACCTCAGTCCCCTAAGTACTGTTCGCTGAAAGAAGAAAATGTGATGCACCAGAGGAAGAGTCACTCTGTCCTAATGTCACTTCTTAACACTTTTTTTCTTAAATACCTACTACCTCATGTCAATGATGAATATTGAGACAGTTTCACTTGCAATTCTTAGGTGTTAATGTTCCTTGCAGATAGGTTTGAGTGATAGTGTAATGAGAAAGGGAGTTGATCTGAAGGCACTGGAAGAGCTGGAAACAGGCAGTGGGAATTGAAATTTTATATCAAGAAAGTAGGAGCCGTAAGTGTCAATGACTTGAAAGAACAAGAACTCTGGAATAGTGAGAAATTCTGAAGCTCCAGAGGCTTCCTTTAATTTTATGTAGGAACATCAGGAAAGGCTAAAAATCTTCCTGGTTGGGGAATTCAATGGTAATAAAACAGATGGACTGATGTTAATGAATGAGGGAGGCAATTTTGCAGGGAAGCAAAAGGAAAGGTATGTGTATGTATGTGCCTCTGTACAAGTGTGTGATTGAACAATAAAGAGTTTTTTAAAACTATTGTCTTGTAGTATATTTCAGTATATTTTATAGTGGGAGTTTTGAAGGCCAAATGATGGAGGTTTTTGTATTAATTTGTTTTGGAGGTACCTTTTCCTAGAGCTTGAAGGCAGCACCTCTTGCATGCCCTGTGGAAATGTGTTAAGGAACACAGACAAGGAGCAAGCTGAGTAAGACTTCAGCTGGTACACTACGATCAGTGACAGGATATATCCAGGCCACAGCTATGCATCTCAAAGGTGCATTTGCAAATGTCTGTTTCAGTGTTGGGGAAGCCCTTGAAACAGTAAAGTTCTACATAGGCACAGCTTTTCTTTTCCAAGATCTGTAATCTGGCTTCTATGACAGGAGGAACTTCACCTGGCAGGAGAAAATGTGCTTTCAGTCTCTGTCCACCTGTAATTACTCTGTCTCCTTCCATACAGGTATTCATTCCAGATTAACACACATGCCAGTAGTGTCATCACTGAATCTCACAGTAGTCTTTAGGAAAGACTGCAGTGTTGAAACAAAATGTCCACAGGCTGTTTTTTTGTTAAAAGATAGGCTGCTTGATTTGCTTCTCTTTCATGTATCATTTAATCTGTGATATGTCAGTGACTGTACTTTAAAAGTTACTATTTCTTAACTGTCTAAGATGTCTTTAGGCCAGTATTTCATGCCTTTCTTGCTGTAAAAAGATAATTTTCCAGTGTCAGATTAAAGCCCTCACTCTTGCAGGGCAGGGTATGGTCACATGGTATTTATGTCATGTGTCAGGAAATGCAGATAGTGCTGTTGGTCCAAGTGGTCCAAGTGATTTCTGGTTGGTGTCAAGGAAATTTCTAGATAGGCTGGTCAGTCATGGGTGATACACAGCTGGGTATGCTGTTAACTGAGAAGAGTAGATGGAAGTGCAGGTATGTTAGGGATGCTTTCAGGAAATGGGAGCTTGTCTATAGTTGACAATGGGAAGAGCTGTCTAAGGCAGCAAGAGCTGCACCCAATGCATTCATAACAAAAATTGATCATGTAAAACACGGGCTCATTGCCCATGAAGTAAATGAATTGGTGAGAGCAGACAATTTCATATAGGAACTGAAAAAGCAGACTTTTTTGCATCTTTGCTAAGAAAAGTTTTAGTTAGGAAAAGAAATTGTCCTGTTGGAAAGAATTTTAACTCATCATAACTGGGAATTGAACTCTGTACCTTCATGAGGCTTAACCCCATGAGTATCAGGAGGGAATCTGTACTATTATGAAAAAAGGAATGTCCTGTTAGTACTAATTTTTTTTTACAGTGTGGCTGTAAGATCAGCTTGTGGTACGGTGTAAGAGCTTTTTTGAGTGCTCCTCAGGTAAATTTCTTGTCTCTCGGGGAAACCTGCTGGTACTACCTTCTTTTTTCTTGAACTTCTGTACTAGCCTTTGAGAAATGGTATTTGTCAGATCTCCAATACAAGGAATAATGCTGTGTTTTGGGAGCTGTGGTAAGTGAATACTCTAGGGTAGTTTAGATTGGGTAAGGTAAATGCAGATGTGTTTCAGTACACTTCATCAGGGAGTCACTTGGGCATTTATGTGATTTGACAGGTGACAGGTAACAAGTTGAAGGGCATAAAAATTTTTTTAGTCATTTTTTATAGTCTATCTCGAACTGAAACTTACGTTCCTAGGTTCTGTATGTAGAACTCTAATCTTGTAAATATTTTTGAGTAATTTTCTTCCTCAAGAAGTGTATCACTGAAATCAGTGAATGTACATAGGTGATCAGAGTATATTGGCTCATGTGAGTAAAGATGAGTAGGAAAATTCATGAAGGCTTCACTTCAACTGAAGTTGCATTGGTCTAAGCGCAGGGGTACGTTCAGGCCAAGGTCTTCTCACAAAAGCTGAGATCAAAATGTTTCCCTTGAATGTACCTAGTGTCAAAGTTGCCTGTCCCTACATAACTTGAGTATTTCATTCACTCACAGTCAGTGCCATCTGTCTGGTTTCTGTTCCTGATAGCTGTACTTCAGAGTTGATGGAAAGTCATGTAGAAGTCACAGAAAGCATGCTGCACCATTTTTCATTTGTAGGCTGTGAGCCCAAAGTCCATAATGTGGTGGTGTTGCAGTATGGTCATTTTCTCCATACCCATAAGCCTATTACATAGCATTGCCAAAGTTGTAATGAAAACTCCTTGAGTGTGTATGCTTTCCTTGTAATTATATTGACTTCTGTGGTGTTGGAGAAAGTTGGAGATACTATGCACATGAAAGGAGTTACATCTGTTTGTAACCTAAATGGAAGCTACATAGTCTGCCTTTACAATGAAAAGTAATTCTCTCTGCATTGGCAAAAGAAGCAATTATCTCCTGTGACTTTGTATTTCAGACAATGGTGCAGTGTTCAGTCATCCTGCCAAAGCAGTAACAACCTGGATGGACCTTGAAGTTTCAGTACTTTCAAGGAAGAGTGGATCACTTTCGAACTTTCAGAGGTTATATCTTCAAAAATTGTTACAAGCTTAAAAGAATGGACTAAACATTGACCAATGATCATGTGTAAGGCTGCTGTTAAATCTTTGTCGGTTTGATCACATAAGACTGTTAAAATTAGATTTTGAGTACATTTTCAACTATAAATAGCCCTACTGATAAACTGTATCTTACAGTGCTCAGAGGAAAAAAAGTCGGTAACCTCTCTTCTGTCGTACCTTTTAACTGATGATAGAAAAGGAACATCTAAGTAATATTGTTGCAGTTCCATAAAATATGATCTAAGAAAGCAGATTCATAGGCTATTTTGTGTTGCTGTTTCTACCTCCCATCTTTTCCTTCAACAAGGCACATGGTTACAATTCACTTTGGAAACATAGTAGAAATGTAACAGAAAAACTGGACTAACAATTTCAAATTAAAATTATACTATTTTTCTACATTATCCATATTTTTTATTCTAGTGGTTTTTTTAAAAGCAGTGTATTTGTTTTGTGTACTAGAAGACATGGTTTAATAATTGCGATGGTTCTGTCACAGCAGCAGTTTTTTAAGGAGTGTTGGAGATTGAAGTAATGCCTAAACCAAATTTGTGCTTGAAGATGTACTTACATGACTTACAGAACTGTACAGAAAAAGTGCTTTGCTGACAGTGTCCCAAACACTCCGCTGGCCATTTTCTGTTTCATTGAACAGCTCCGATTTTAGTTCCTGTATTAAGTGATGAATGTGCTTGAGTGGTTCGAATGTATGCATTTCAATTTTTTAATACAGTTTTATTTTAATAAAATAATCTGCTACTCTTGTCTAGTAAATAAAACAAATGAAATGTATGCTTCTCCAAGATGTGTGGAAATTGGGGGGGGGGGGGGGG